GAGCAGCAAAAGCAGAGTAAGGTGAAAATATTTACTCTAGGCTTCCTGTCAGGCAGCTAAAGCACCGTTTTGCAGTGTGTGGGCCAGGACTCTCGCAGCTCTTTGTGCACATAAATGTACAGCCACAAGACAAAGGGGAAGAGAGCGACCACGACTGCAGCGACCAAGCGAACTCCTCCCAGGGGACTCCTAGAAAGGAGCAAATGCAACAGAGTCACAGAATCTGTAAGGTTGGCAAAGACCTCCAAGACCATCGAAGTCTAACCTTTGACTGCATACCACCACTGAACCCAGTTGTGAACTGCCATGTCCAGTCAGTTTTTGAACACCTCCAGGAATGGTGACTCCACCACCTCCCTGGGGAGTCTGTGCCAATGCTTGTTCACTCTTCCAGTAAAGGAATTTTTCCTAGTATCCAACCTGAACCTCCCCTGGTACAATCCGAGGCCATTTCCCCTTGTCCTGTCCCTTGTTCCCGGGGGGCAGAGCCTGATCCCACCTGGCTGCACCTCCTGGCAGGGAGTTGTAGAGAGTGAGAAGGTTCCCCTGAGCCTCCTTTTCTCCAGGCTGAGCCCCCACAGCTCCCTCAGCTTCTCCCTGTGCTCCAGCTCCATTCCCTTCTTTGGACACTCTCCAGCCCCTCAGTGTCTCGTCCTGAGGAGCCCAAAACTGCCCCAGGGCTGGAGGTGTCTCAGCAGTACCAGCACAAGGGACAGGCACTGCCCTGGGGCTGGTACAAGTCAGGATGCCTTTGGCCTTCTTGGCCACTGCTACAACTGCTACAAAACATTCACATCTGCCCACAGCTGGGAAGACAGCAGAGAGTCTTTGGCCACTTGAATGTGGCTCCTGTGGGTCCTTTACTGGAGAGGCACCATGTGCAAGCAGAAGAGAATTTTCTGACACCTCAGGCTACAGAAGCTAGTTGTAACAAAAACCACCTTATGCAAAGGGAGAGTATCCTCATTATGGCAGGGGAGCATTAAAAATGTGTCATGTAGCCTTACATTCCCCCCAGACTTATTTGTGTGAGATCCTCCAGGCTGTAACGCCAGCTGCTACTGCTTGGGTATCTGAGAAGGTTCCGACGGTGACAGGAAACAGAAAAACAAGCTGCCAAAACCAACTTTTTGTGTTTTCAAGGAGCTAATTACTAAATGGGAACATATGAAAGGCTTAAAAAAAGGAGGAATCAAAACTTACTTTGCTGAACTGCGACAAAGGCTCATCCATATTGTAATAATCACCAAACCAAACAACTCTCTAAACAGCCAAACAAAAAACAGATCAGAAAATAATACAAGCAGATGTCTACCTTCAGAGGATACAAATTCTGTCTGCAAAACACGAGTGGCTGCTCCTTTGGAGAAGATCAGTAGCTTTCACTGGGATTATAAAGGTATTTACACGGAGTAACTTTGCTTCCCATCACAAATCTACTAACAGACATGACCCAGCTAAACAGCTGCAGAAATTCCTGCTTCCAATTCTTGTTCCCCTCCTAAACTTACATTCCACAACACATTTCTCCCAGTAACACAGAACAAAGCAGCATCCCAGTACTCCAGACCCATAACAGCCACAGTAGCTGCCAGGGCTTCTCCTCAATACTGTGCAAGCTCCAACTTCAGGCACCACCTGAATGTCCAGGTGAGAAATCCTCCTTCATCCTCAATCCCTGGCAGTTCAGAGGACTCAGCAGCCCATGCCAGATAAACAGGCACATGGTATCACCTCAAGAGTTTTTAGAACACGTAGGAATTACCATTCCTATAGCTCCAGCAAGAGAGCACAAGGCTGTTTCACTGGGTTTGTGCCCTGGTCTGACAGCCACAACTGCCCCCAGGTAACTCTAACAGCATCAGGCAATGACTGTTGAGTGTTCACTTTCCCTGTGTCCTGGTTTGGAGCACCGTGGTCCCTCCTCCTTGGCTTGGTTCCCCTGGACCAACAGAACTCACTGCAGCAGCCCAGCAAAGAAAGTTTTGAAGGTGACACTGGGAGGAGATGGCCTGGTGAGCTGGATTTGAGCAGGGGAAAACAAACATCACTGCTTACCTGCCTTCCTCTTCCTGCAAAATGTTTCCCTGCAAAATGTTTCCCTGAGCATAAGCAAACAAAGAGCAAGCCAAGGCAATGGTCCCAACAACACAGCCAGCAGAATGAAGGTCACAGAGGCTCCTCCAAACACCATTGTCTGAGGAAAAAAAATAGACTGTCAGCAACTACCATGAAGCAAACCCTATAAATCCCAAAGTAACTGGGTGGCTAGAAAAGGTGCCTCCAGCAAACACACACAGCTTAGGCAGGAAGATATCATTATTGCCAGCAGCTTTATGGCCAGGGAAATCTGCTAAAAAGTGCTGTGGAAAATAAACACTACTGGGCTTGGGGCTTGTTTCCTAGGAATGCAACTTCGTGGCAGCAGCAGCTCAGCAACACCCTCCTGTTCCCCACAGCAAACACAACAGGCTCCAGCAATCAGCACCCACGGAAATAAATCACAAGGTGTATCACAAATGGGAGTTCTCTCGAGCAGGAGGAACTTTCTGGAGCTCAGCCACAACCAGGCATGAGCCCAGAGGAGCCCAGGGGAGAACCAGCCCCCAGTCACTGCAGGGAACATCATCACCACTGCCTGTGGTGATGAGCAATGCTGATGACATCTCTGCCTGGGGACTGATGTTTTTAGACAGAGAAATACAGATGATGTGAAATATCCAAATGGGTCCAAAAGTTCTTGTGGTTTTCCATGTCCATTCCCAGGGGCTCCTGAGGGAGAGGTAGGAACTGACACTGGCAGCTCTCCCTGATCTCAGCAATGCCAACAGCAAAACAACTGAAGTTAAAAGCAGTTGTTTTCTGGGCACTGACCCCTCCAGGCAAGCATTAAAGGTGATGAGCTGCCAAGACTCCAGAGCTCAGTGTGACCCAATGCTGTAACTGATTCCCCATTTGGCTGAACTTACTGCAGCTCAGCAGAGACACAGTCTGGGTCTGCCACAGACCTGAATGGCAAATACCCCTTGGTGAATTTACACAGATCTACACTTATACAGTAGTTGTGCTGTTTTACTCTTCGTTTTTCACAGGTCTTGGCACAAGTAAAAACCTGTGAGTTTAAAATGCAGATTCTCCTGACCAGCCAAATGCCATTATGTTGAAGCTACACCTATCACACATGTAAACCCCCCTGAAATGTTCAGAACACTCACAGGTTCTGGCTTTATGAATGCTGCCACTTGATATGCTTAAGGCAGCCAGAAAACTAAGAGACTGCAATGGTGTCATTTGTGACAACAAACAGCACTAAGCAAGACCTTTAGTGTTTTTACAGGGCTATGCAGAGCTCAGCTGCTCTTGCAGGAGGTAGATAAGCAAAAACATGGGTTTACAACAAGGAAACAAAATGAATTAATGTGCTAAGGTTAACACGAGAGCCAGGGTCAGAGCATGTTGCCACAACTGCTGCTGCACTTGGGCTTGGAGCTGGAATCGGGGTGCAAAAGGAAGTCCACCCCAGGCCTCCTTCACCTGCAGCACATCCAGCCACCAGCACTGAACCAATGAGCAGCTTTTGTAGAAGCTTTTTGCCCTCAAAAGGTGGTAGAACATGTTTCCACGTGGTCTGATTTTAATCTGTGATTACATTAAAAAAAAGCCCACACTTTTGGGGGCAATATTTGAGCAGAAACTTTTGCACAGCAGTATCATACCTGTTACTGAAGGGTTGATGCTGACGAGCAGGGTCAGGGCAGCTGGCACTAAGTAGACAGTCTGTTAATAAAACATGTATCTACTCTGTAGCAAAACTTAGCAAGGTGAGGAAGCAGAAGTGCCCACCCACAGCAGCAGTTGTGCCCTCACAGCAGTTTGTCAGAGGCACAGAGCAGTTCCCAGTTCCTCTCCTCCTGGCACAGCCTGGCGGTGTTAGAGCTCATCTTCACCATCACCACCACCATCCCAAACCCTGGGCTGTCATCAGTGCCAGCCCTTGTTCCTCAGCTCCTGGGTTACTGAGTGCAGGCTGCAGGGAGCCTTCCCTGCATCCTGATCCCCAGGAAAGGCACAGATGGGACTGGGTCCCCCCTCCCCAGGCTCCCCAAACCCTCCACCTGCTCTGGGGGTTTTGCCCACCCTTTGCTGCCGCTGTTAGCTCACACAGCCGAGGACACGCAGGGGACAGCCCCTGTCCACCCAAGACCCCCTGCACAGATAGTTCTCCCTTGTCCCTCGGCTTCAAGCCCTCGTGTGCCCGAGATAGGGCAGGCGGAGAAGGGTGTTCTCTCCCCATTTCCCCTCGAGGCCAAGCTGAGCAGCATCGCGCTGGTGGCTCAAGGCAAGATGGGGACAGCGGGACACCCGGGCAGAGGCTCTGGGGCACCGAGAGCATCCCGCGGTGCTCTGCACCGATGCTTCGCAGGGGACAAGCGCAGATCTGGGGTGAAATAAGGCAGATCTTGGAAGCACGGTCGGATTCCGACCGTCCAGCAGCAGAGAGATCGTTTTCCCGGAGTCGGCTCTCAGCTGGAAGCCGGGAGCAGGTTTCCTCCGGCGGCGCCGCGCGGGTGGGAGCAGCGGAGCGGGGCTGGGATCGCCCGGGGCAGGC